GTTATTTATGTTTCTTTTCTGTAATGGGCCTTATTCTGGGCCCATCTTGTCTATATTAAGTTCTTTGTAAATTCTTGCCCACCTAAGGGGCTCCTTGTAATTATTCAAATATATCTTAATAAAAGAATGTTAGGGTGTTGAGAGAGAGTAGGTTCGAAACTCTCATTCTCAGACCCTCATTGCTGAACTCTCAAGCTCTCCATCTTCAGAGTACCCTAGCCTTCTTTTGAGCCAAACTCCTCAAATTTTCTGATCACCTTTTGCTTCCTCTCTTCTAATCTTCCAAAATGTTGATTGTTCCATTCTTTGATATTGACTTTTATTTCGTTCAACTTCCTATGAAACTTCTTGCCTTCCCATTTCACCCTTGGATTATTTCCTTCCCACCATTCCTTGACATTCTGTACAAATCCATTGTTAGATAGCCACATGTTCTCAAATTTGAAAGGAGCTGGTCCTCTTCAACCCACATCTTCCTTAAAAATAGATATTGGCCAATGATCCAAGGTCACCCTTGAACCATTGAAACTCTTACTTGATTTTACTTTTTTGTTTTGATAATTTGATATTGGATGCTGTATGGCGTGCAATAATGATTAAAACATTTAAAAGGCCTAGGCTCTTAACAAAAAGCTGATACACATTGGCATTATGCACTGATATGTTGTGATATTTTGAACCTTGTTTAAGACTATGAATCCCTCTCAGCCAAATTGGTGCAGCCAATAGTCACTTGGAATTATGGCTGCAGATGGTGTCCATTCCTCCAAGTTTGAATTTGAATATGAACTTTTTGATAATAAATAAACTTCATTAATTAAAAGGGGGGATTTCAATACAGTTCATTTCATGGATGAGAGAAACAGGGGTCCTAGGCTGGACGGGGGATGAGACAATTTTCTCAACTTGTGGACTGCATATTTTTCAAGGCGCCAAGGCTAGTCTAGGCAGTGGATTTTTTTTAAGTAAAAAACATATATCTTAGGGTGGTTCCCTAGGTACCATAACCATATTTCCTTAACAAATATTCATAATTTTCATAAGAAAAGTATAAACTTAATGTTTAAGTATAGAAAATCAACATATTCATGGGAAGTAAAAGAAAAAAAGAAAATTCAAAAAATATAGGGGCTGAACCCTTATTTTTGTCATAGGAAAAAAGAAAACAAAAGGTGGATGATATAGAGGAAGAAAATTTGTTGATTAGACAAAATCTTAAGTTCTTCCTTACTTATTCATTCAGTTTTTGAAGTCTTTGAGGGTTTGGTATAGCATTTAGCAATGCCCGTGTTGATTAAACCCTAACAAATATGAAAATAAATAAAATGTAATTAGTATATAAACACACAAAATGAATATTTTAGTTTAATAATGTCTATTTTATAATTATAATCTCAAAAAATCAAGAATATAAAAGTATTTTATAATACATTGTATAAGACTGCTTGGCGATTAGTTGAGGTGAACCTCCAAGGGCGCCTTGTTGCCTAGGTGTCGCCTTGACAACTATGGTGGACAGGTGGGAGTTCATTTATTTACTATTGGTGGGGGCTCAGTTTACCTGGAAAACTAACCAAGAAACCCCTACTCTGGTATGACTTGACAGATTTCTTCCCAGCCAATGGGAAGAGAGGTTTCCAGACACATGGCAAGAATCTCACTCTAGGCCTTTATCTAATCGACTGAGGATCTTAGTATATCCAATTGGGTTTTGACCGTTTGTACTTTGTAGCCCTACTTGGCAGTCACCTTCCATCTTAGATAAGCCAACCTGATCTTTGGATCCATCCAGTTTTCTTTTGTTGATATTAGAAGCTAAGTTTCCAGTCTCTTTATTTATCAGTTAGGTGGCAGGGCAGATTTGTCTTATTTTCTTTCCTTTATTTCAATGTTTTAAAATGTGGAGGTGTGACGCGAGGCGTTCCACTACCTAGAAGCCTGAGGCGTAGTTCAAAACGCAAGAGGCATAAGCCTCCTGAACACAAGGAGGCATAAGCCTCCTTAAGAGGAGGGGGGATCTCATTTTTCTCTATTTTTAATAAAAATCTTTTATATTAAGAAGAACAAAGATGCATAACATTAGTTGAAAGGGGGGTCTGGGGGGCGAAGCTCCCCCAGCCGAAGGGGCAGGGGGCAAACCACTTTCTTTCCCCTATCTTTTCTTCCCTTCCCTTCCCTTTTCTATTTTTTCTTTTTCTCTTTTTTTCTTCTATTTCTTTTTCTTTCCCTTCCCTTTCTTTTCTTTTCCTTTCCTTTCCTTTCCTTTCCTTTTTTTCTTTTTTTTTTTCTTTTTTTTTTCTGTCTTTATATAAGATGTGCATGAGGCATACGCCTCTAGCACGCCTCATGAAAAAAGCACATGAGGCATACACCTCTTGCACCTGAGGCGTACGCCTTAGAGGTGTTAGCGCCTCTGGCATACGCCTCAGGGCGTTTTGGGAGCGCCTCATGCCTCCAGGTGTACGCCTCCCACGCCTTTTAAAACACTGCTTTATTTATGTTGATGTGTCTCATTATTTAAGTGAGGGCATGTTTGTAATTTCTCATATCTTATTTATAATAAAGAAAGGGGCGGTTGTTAGTGATTGTATGAGAAAACTGATTTCTCTAACTGCCTTATCCCTATTTTCTCTCTTTCTTCTCTTCTCTTCTCTTCTCAACTCCTATTCTTCCTGAACTTAAATCATAGGTTCTCTGGTATTTGTTTTTATTTTTCCTCTGCTGTTTTTCTTATTTTTTATTGCCAATCTCAGTTGATTTTTGGATAGAAATTTGAAGAACCACTAGCTGAATTGTTAACGGTATATTAACAAGGTTCTATACTCCAGATTTGCCTTGTCCTTACAAAACATTATGTCATCCACAAATTGGAGATGGGAGGCAAGTTAGGCAACCATTTCCTTCTGTTTTTCTGTTCTAACTATAATTCCTCTAATCATAACAGTTCTATCAGCTCGAAGAATTATAAGATTAAGTACCAATACAAAAAAGAATTAGTTAACTAAATTCATCAAGTCAATGAAGGTAACAAGGAGAGAGGATAATTGGGATCCCTATTGAAGCCTTTTAATTCCTAGAAAGTTCTCCATCAAGGATCTGTTAAACAAAACCAAGTATTTAGTTACTCTCCAATACCAACACCCTTCTTTTCCATGATTGCATTATCTTAAAAAATATTTTGTTATGATATAAGGCATTAAGGTGTCCTTTTTGGGACATTATTCTTTTTTGACAAAGAATAATTTAAACTTACAGAATATAGATATACTATGACTTGTTTAATTATTAGCTTTTGTCCTTTGACAAGTTGGTGGGAAAGCAACGCTTGTTTCACTGGTCATGGTTAATAAATTTTGTTTTGCAAGAAAATATTGTTCCCTTAATTTTCTCATTGCTGAGTTGTCATGTCAGCTAAGTTTTTCTTCTAATGGCTGCTTTGAACTTTTTGTTGCAGGTTGTTCCTAGCATTTCAATGGTTGAAACATATGTGAGGTTGCTGCTGATTGCACCTCATTCATGTTTTCGCCCGCACTTCACGGTAAATTCCATCAAGTTTTGAGAGTTGTGAGTGGTGTCAGAAACTTGAGGAGTTCCTATTGGTGTCAGATTCCTTTAAGTTGATCTTAATTATCTGTTTAAATGACCTATAATTGATTTTGGATATCGGTCTTCTTCTACCATTCTGTTTGCATTAGTTGCTGTTGTTTGATTATTGCAAATTGTACTAGTATTTAGGCAATCATGAGCAATATGTTATTGCCCTTGATATGAGCAGATTTATTTATATCAATATATTTGCCACTTCACTAGGAGGGTGGGCCTTGGCACAACAGTTGGGTTACTCCATTGCAACCTGGTGACCTGGGTTCAAATCTTGGAAACAGCCTCTCTGTATGTGCAGGGTAAGGCTGCGTACATCTATCCCTCCCCAGACCCACATTAGTGGAAGCCTTGTGCACTGGGCATTTGCCACTTCACCAAGGTGTGAAGGCTTCACAAATTCCCCATTGGCCTCTGTTACAAGCAATTGGCCAGGGAAAAGAACAAATCAGCACCTATGAATATGCAGGACAGTCCCAAACATCAACTGCAGATCAATGCACTCCATAAACAAACTTCACATGTGGAGAAACCTAAGAAAAATATGGCACTTCCTAAAATAGACTATGGATATAGAGGAGGAGAAATACGTTAAAATTCAGCACTGCACCATAAATTGCCAAATCACTTTGTATCATGCTGTGAATATCCCTGAATTAGATTCTTCAGTTTTTCATTCACAACAAAAAAATGGTGAATGAGTTTTGGAGTCGTGTAATCTTAGTAATAGTTGATATTTGCATTGTGATGATCAGGCCTTTTTGCTAATAAAAAAAATGAAAAGAAACAAAGAATGAACATTTTTTATTAACAATAGAAAATATCATTGAATAAAATAAGAGAAAGTATAAGTCTTGGTCCTTTGGGACTGAAAAGGTCTCAAAGCAGCAATTAAACCACTTCATAACAAAATGGTGAAATAGGATTACATCATGGTTTTATTTTCCATTTACAAAGCAATGCTTTCAACCTGCCTTGTGCTTGCTGTCAGATGTTTGACCCGGTCATGACACCAGCTTGGGTTAACTCCTAATCTGCCTTAGGTGAAGGCCAAGAAAGGAGTGATTCCCCATCATAGTTGTCAAGGCGACAAGGCGCCCTTTGAGGCTCGCCTCGCCCAACCGCCAAGCAGTTTTTTACTTCTATTATAAAATACTTTTTTTTTTTCATTTGTTTGTAACTATAATTATAAAATAGACATTATTAAACAAAAGTAATCATTTTGTGTGTTTATATACTATTTTCCTATTTATTAGGGTTTAATCAACACAAATATTGCTAAATTCTGTATTGAACCCTTAAAGACTTCAAAGCCTGAACCAATAAGTAAGGTTCAGCACATTTTCTTATTTATTAGGGTTTTATCTAATCAGCACATTTTCTTCTTCCATATATTCTTCTTCTACTTCTTCTTCTTCTTCTTCTTCTTCTTCTTCTACTTCTTCTTTTATACTACTACTACTACCAATGCTTTTTTTTTCTTCTCTTCTTATAACAAAAATAAGGGTTCAGCCCCTATATTTTTTGAATTTTATTTTCCTTCTTTTCTTCTCATGAATATGTTGATTTTCTMTACTTCAATATGAACTTTATACTTTTCATATGAAAATTATGAATAATTATTAAGGAAATATGGTTATGGCTCCTAGGGAACTACCCTAGGATCTATGTTTTTAACATAAAAAAACCAATCGCCTAGGCACCTGCCTAGGTGACTAGGCGACAAGGAGCCGCCCTGTCTCCTAACCTCGCCTTGGCACCTTGAAAACTATGTTCCCCATTAAGGAAAGAGGCATCAATGCCTCTGGTTGCAGTTTTTAATGGTGCTGTGGTGGTTTTCTGAATACCCTCTATTTGGTGATTTGAAGAGGGTTGTTGACAGATGTTTCTGGTTGGCTGCTTATCCCACTATTTTTGTTAGCGGTTGAAGTGATTAAATATGGTAGTTTGATGGGAAAATCGATTACCTTTATGATGCTGAGGTTTGCTAGTACTTCTTAAGCGGTTTTCTATACTTATTCTGGGTTGCAGCTAGTGATTATTGGTATTCGGGTTACTATAGTATGGTGCCGTTTGGCGTCTTTTTTGAAAGATTTGACAGCCAAAAGACTTAGTGGGCTTTTACATAAAGATCTTGGCAGCCCACAGACCGTTTGGTTGGAGGCACATCTGTCTGCTTGAAGACGAGATGAAAAAGGCGAGAAGCTCCATTCTAGCTTCCCGAAATAAGCTTGAATCGAGCTTCTTCCGTCTTTTTGGGGTGCAGTCTTTTGGCAGCTAGAACTTCCCCCAACCAAATGGGAAAAGACGAAAACACGGACTGCTGGGCTTCTAAACAGCTGACAGCCCGTGCGGAAAGATGCGCCAAATGGGGCCTATGTCTTTCTGTCCAGAATTTTCTGGATTAGTGTGAATCAGTATTTGTGGTAGAATTGCGTGAAAGGAGTATATTTACCTTGTTTTATTTGTAATATGGCATCTTTTGGGAGTGAAGTTAGTGAAGTCCAATTTTGCGATACAACTAGATTTCATGGCTATCCAAATGACCGCAGTTAAGTTTAATGTTACAAACTATGCACCTTGCGAAAAATCTGTTGAACTTCAGTTAGGTTCAGGAGAATGCACAAATTATGACCTCTCTCTGGTATAGTATGGAACCTCACATAGTGTGAACTTGATGTTCTTTGACACCTGCTAAAGAAATTTGGGAGCATGCTAAACAGCTTTATTCTGGACAAGGTAATGTGTTATGTGTCAAGGATTTATCAACTTTATTTAGAGTACTTTTAGTTACAAACTTACAATAAGGTGATAGATTTGTGGAGTATTATGCCTGTCCCAAGAGCTTACATAATGAGTTGGATATTATCAGCCCTTGTCAACTGATCTCAAGGTGCAAGAACAACAAAGAGATTAGTTGGACGAGGCTAGATTTCTCTTTGGTTTGAGATCTGAATTCGAACTGGTACGTGCACAGATTTGGGTAGTAGTGATATACCCACATTGTCTGAAGTCTTCTACAGAGTTAGAAGAGTTTCTAGTCCACAGACAGTCCCTTAGATGCCTACGGAGATCTTTGAATTTTTTTTAATTGGGAAAAGAAAGGGTACAGATGTTTTAGTCCTATTTTTTTGTTTTTTCTTTGTCCTTTTAGATGTGTTGTTCTTTGAGAATATCCCTTATTTTTTCTTTTGTTGAGTCTTCTTCTACATGTGATTTGTCACCTCCGCTTCTTCCTATGGTGGAGGTGTCCTTACCAGATCCATCTGTTGAAGTGTTTACATGACCACTGGTTCATAGATTGTACATTCATGATCCTCGTGGAATTTTTTCACCCACTCCAACTTCTCTTGAGTCATCATTGTTTTCACTATCAGCAGATCCATTTTTTTAGACTTGCCAATTGCTCTTAGAAAAGGTAAATGTGCTTGCACTGAACATCCTATTTCTCATTATGTTTCCTTTACTCATCTATCTCCTTCCTATCAGAATTTTTTTTTTTTGTCTCTTCTTTCTTCTATGACTGTCCCTAGGTTGGTTCATGAAGCCCTTCTCTCACCAGGTTGGTTCATGAAGCCCTTCTCTTTAGTCTAATTGCACATTCACATATGGGATCTGCTCTTCCTACTGGGAAGAAAGTAGTTGGTTGTGATGGGTGTATACAGTTAATCACCAGGCAGATGGTACCGCGGAGAGGTATAAGGCACATTTAATGGCTAGAGTATACATAGGTCTATAACATTGATTATATCAAGGTTCAAAATTTTGATACGATACGCCCCATATCGTCTCATATCAGTGGCTTCATGATAGGCCTATTTAAAGGTGTTTCGGGAACCACTCTTTTTTAATAAAAATACGGTTAAAAATATGCTAAAAACCAATTTTTGAAAAAAAAACTAAAAAAATATAAAAGCGTTTTAATTCAAGTATTGATACGTCCCTACCGATACACGGGGGCATATCGATATTTTGAACCTTGGATTATATTGATGGAGCTAGGCCGGAGAAGAGTCGAAACTGACCCGAGACTAAATAATTCTGGGAACCACATGGCAGAGGACTTGAGGAAAGCGAGAGGCTCCAGTAACGGGCAGCTTGTTCATGTAACTAAGGTTTTTCATCGTCTCAAGGAAGGACTGGCCAGGAATGGTCCATGCTGCAGATTTAAGGGAATCTATAAAAGGAAATGGTCTAAGGCCAAATCTAGACCTCACAAATGTCTATTTAAAAGTTATGGTGCAAATAGTTTAGAAGCTGATGCAGGCAGCAAGACTCAAGGCATCGGGTCTAGTAATCAAGATAAGGATGCTTCCATGGGGGAGAGGGACGAAAGGAAAAGGACGGAGTCTCTTAAATGAAACTTGGAGGAAGAGAGAGAGGAAGGGATGGAGGTAATGAAGGAGAAACCTGTTGAAAGTGGGGGGAAGGTTGAGAGAAAAGGAAGTGACCTGAAAATGTTTGGAGAGGAAAACAGAGAGGGGGAGAATGAGATAGGAGGGAATAAAGCTGATAATGAGGATGGCAGCATTGACAAGGGAAGGTCGATATTGATAAACTAGTAGATAGACAAGTGACAGTTGGGAAATTTCTTGGCCTTTTCTTTTTAGTGGGAGAAGCAGTGTGGAGGAAGGCAATTGGACAGTTTGAACAAAATAGAAGACAGGGAAAGAACAAGAGAAGCACAGATGGGGAAGGGGGTGAGAATTGGGAGGAAGGTGAAGGAAAGGAGTCAGATTTCATCAATGAAGAGTAAAGGAAGATGTGGGTTTGCCACAGGTGAGAGGGTGAGTTTTTGAGGTCTCTGGTTTTTGCTGTTTTTCTTCAGTTGGGGTGCTTGATGTTTGGGGGCTTGTTTGTTTGGGGTCCTTTTGTTTGTGTTCTGGCTGCTTATTGTTTTTTAGCTCTTTTGGAGGTGTTCCCTCAACACTGTTCAAA